CGGGGTTTCACCGTGTTAGCCAGGATGGTCTTGATCTCCTGACCTTGTGATCCGCCCGCCTCGGCCTCCCAAAGTGCTGGGATTACAGGCGCGAGCCACCGCACTCGGGTAGTTTTGGGGCAGTTTCTAAACGACTTCCATGCGTGTGGCCAGTGAGGTCTACTGTCCTTAAATTAAAATATTCAGTTCTTCCCTTTCACCAGCTTCAAGTGCTCAGTAGCCACACACAGCTGTTGGCAGATGTGGAAAATTCCCAACATCGTAGAAAGTTCTACAGGATGGTGCTGGTTAGAGTATGTGGCTGGGCGCGGTCGCTCATGCCTGTAATCCTAGCACTTTGGGAGGCTGAGGCGGGCGGGTTACCTGAGGTCAGGAGTTTGAGACCAGCCTGGCCAATACGGCAAAAGCCCGTCTCTACTAAAAATACAAAAATTGGCCAGGCATGGTCATGAGTCCCTGTAATCCCAGCTACTCAGGAGGCTGAGGCAGGGAGAACTCTTGAACCCCGGAGGCGGAGGCTGCAGTGAGTCAAGATCATGGCACTGCACCCTACCTAGCCTGGGCAACAGAGAGAATCCACCTCAAAAAAAAAAAAAAAAACAACAAAGATAAAAGTAATACCTTAGACTGGCTAACATGGGGAAACCCCACCTCTACTAAAAAATGAAAAACATTATCCGGGGTGGTGGCGCACGCCTGTAATCCCAGCTGCTCAGGAGGCTGAGCTCACAGTTGAGCGACACCCAGGACTGCTGGCCACCCCTGAACACCGGGAGAGGCAGGAGGAGCCCCGGCTAGAGCCTCTGGAGAAACTTCGGGTCTGCAGACACTTTGATTTCAGACTTCTGGGCGCCACTGCCGAGACTGCGTTTCTGCTATGCAAGTCACCAGGTTTGTGTCACTTCGTTACAGCTCCAGGCTGACCACAAAAGCGCCCTGTTACAGTGTGGGCTCTCTGTTGAGGGAATTTCAGGGGGCTTCTGACCTTGGAGGGGAAAATACACGACCCACATCCTCAGTCTTCCTGGAGTTTAGTACCCCTACAGCTACGTGAACGAGGCAGCAAGCCCGCTCGACCGTGTGGTAAGGAGACTGCAGACTTCACTGCAAGAGTGGCTCCATCTGATCCTGAGTTTCGCTGTCTGATGCATTAATAAACAAGCATATCAAGTTCTCTACCACGAATTGGTCTTAATGCTGTGATAGCTGTATTTTAACATAATAGTATTAAGCCAAGCTTTTACTGCTGTTTCTCAAATTAGGGTTGAAGGACCATGGGGTGGGAGAAAGCTGGGAATGTCTGCTCCCTTGAAAGAATGTATAAACAACACCCTCCAAAACAACCAAGGGGTCCAAGGAGAAACTTTGGCCGGGCGCGGCGGCTCACGCCTGTAATCCCAGCATTCTGGGAGGCCGAGGCAGGCAGATCACGAGGTCAGGAGTTCCAGACCAGTCTGGTCAACATGGTGAAGCCCCGTCTCCACTAAAAATACAAAAAATAGCCGGGCTTCTAATTCCAGCTACTCAGCAGGCTGAGGCAGGAGAATCACTTGAACCTGGGAGGTAGAGGCGGCCGTGAGCCGACATCACGCCATTGCACTCCAGCCTGGTGACAGGAGACTCCGTCTCTAAGTAAGTAAATAAATAAATAAACAATAACTAAATAAATAAACGGCAAGGGAAGTTGGAAAATACTCCCGATGAACTACGAGGAAGACACTGGTGGGATCCAGCTAAAGCCGTGCTCAGAGGTCGTGAACGCCCACGTTTCACACAGAAGGGTCTCGGCACAGTCGCCCGACCTTCCGCCTCAGAAAACCAGAGAAAAGAGCAAAGTCAACCCCAACATCAAAGTCTCATCCTGACCAGGGGTCTGCAGGCTGCCCCCCGATGAGGCCCAAAGCACCCCCTGCCCAGACAGGTTCACGGGCCCTGAGAAAGACCGGAAGAAAATGCCAAAGACATTAGAAGAATTTCTCCCTACTTTTTTGGTCATTTTCAAAATCTGAGAATCACATGTGATTTGTATTTGAAAAGCCTGAAAAAATTAAAATAAAAAACAAAGGACTTGAACTTGGGGGCTAAGAGATAAAAGTCCAGTCTAAACGAGGGCAAGTTCCTGTCTCCAACGACCAGGGCAGGTGTCCCGGCTCCCACCGCACTCACCTGCCGCGCCCAGCCAAGCATGACGGTGTTGTACATGTCCAGAGTGAGCCACTTCTGTTTCTGCTGCTGCCTGTGGTGGGTGACCAGCAAGTGGTGGGCGAGGGGCAGGTGGTCGGTGAGCAGGCAGCACTTGAAGAAGGCCAGGAGCTTCTGCTGCTGACCTGAGAGCTGGGCCTGCGTGGGCGGGGCCCGCCCCACATCGAGGCTCAGCTTCCGAGGGGCCTCCTGCAGCACCCGGGGCAGCTGCTCCTCCCAGGAGCTCTCAGGGGCCAGGAACACGGCCAGCTGCTTGCTCAGGAGCCGGGGCTCCACCTGCAGGTGCTTGGGCCGCACCTTCAACTCCTTGCTCTGGCTCTGGACTCGCATCTGCAGGTTCACCTCCAACTGCTGCATGTGCATCCGCCGGATCCGCTTATCCTTCTCCAGTCTCTGTGCCCAGCCGCTACGGGGCACCGGGCTGGCACCCTTGGCCTCCCTCTGGACCTTCCTGGGTGGCTGGGGGCCACCATCTCCACTGCCACGTTCTGGGAGCCGCGCCACATCCACCCTGTTCACCACCACCTCAGACACGCTCTCAGCCTGCAGCTGCCGCACCCGCGCCTGGAGCACTGTGAGAGGCAGAGGGCGAGGACGTCAGAGGAAGCCCCCATTCAAGCACCATCTCTCTGGACCCCGAGCCGGGCCAGGAGGTGCAGGTGGCTGAGTTCACTGGGACCCGAGGCACGAATTCCTCGTATCTGCCAACAACGCCATAAGGTCCGCCCCCTCCTTTCCAGACACACGCACCTCCCCATCCGAGCCCCGGGCCTCACAAAACTCAGCAGCCCAAACCAGTTCCCACCGAGACCCGCTGCACCGCATCTCCCCGGTCCCAGGCCACTCCGATCCTCCAGGTTCTCCCTGGTCACGGGCCACTCCGACCCTCCAAGTGCCCAGACCAAGAACCCCGGGATCTCTGACAACTCCCTCTGTCCATCTCTCAGTACCTCCTCCGGGCTTGCCTCCAAAATCTATCCAGGTCGCCCCTCGCCTCCCCGGCCTCCCCTGCCCCTCCCACTCACGGTCTACCTCAGGACCTCCGCAAAGGCTCCCGGGACCCTGAGCCACCCGCTCCCCGGCTCAACCGTGGCCTGCAAGTTTCCACCCTGCCCCAGCAAGACCCCCCACCTGGGAGCTGCCACACACACGCTCCTAGGCTCACATGGCCTAAGCTGGTGGATGCTGAGTTAGTCAACACTGAGCCGCTGCTTCCAGGGAAAACAGGGTTCCTGTGCGTGCTGCCTCAGGCTGCACTTTTGCCAACCAATCAATGCCTAAATGTTTTGTGTCTAAGGAAGCCTTATTGGAAACCTATCGCTGGCCGGGCGTGGGGCTCACGTCGGTCATCCCAGAACTTTGTGAGGCCAAGGCAGAAAGATCACCTGAGGTCAGGAGTTCGAGACCAGCCTGGCCAACATGGTGAAACCCCGTCTCTACTAGAAATCCAAAAAATTAGCTGGGCATGGTGTCATGTGTCTACAGTACCAGCTACTTGGGAGGCTGAAGCAGAATTGCTTGAGCCTGGGAGGCAGAGGTTGCAGTGAGACAAGATTGCGCCATTGCCCTCCAGCCTGAGCAACAGAGTGAGATTCCATCTTAAAAAAAAAAAAAAAAAAAAGACTGTTGAAATAAGCCAGGTATAGGGCCGCGCACGTGTGGTCCCAGCTACTCCGGAGGCTGAGGTGAAAATCACCTGCGCCTTAGAGTTCCTGGCTGCTGCGAGCTGTGATCAGGCCTTAGAGTTCCAGGCTGCAGCCTGAGAGACAGAGCAGGACTCTGTCTCTCAAAAAAAAAAAAAAAAAAAAAAGGGCAGCCAGGTGCGATGGCTCACACCTATAATCCCAGCACTTTGTGAAGCTGAGGCGGGCGGATCACAAGGTCAGGAGATCAAGACTATCCTGACCTACACGGTGAAACCCCATCTCTACTAAAAATACAGACAATTAGCCCAGTGTGGTGGTGCGTGCCTACAGTTCCAGCTACTCAGGAGGTTGAGGCAGGAGAACTGCTTGAACTCGGGAGGCAGAGGCTGCAGTGAGCCAAGATCACACCGTTGCACTCCAGCCTGGCAAGAGGGTGAGAGTCCGTCACAAAAAAGAAAAAAAAAAAAGATTACTGAAATAAAAAGGCAAGTGTGATTTCCGCCTTCAGTATGCTCCAAAACTCAGGAGATACTTTTAGTATTAACAGGTGAGAGATTTTTTTTTTTCTTTTTAATCTTTTTTGAGATAGAGTTTCTCTTTTGTTGCCCAGGCCAGAGTGCAATGGCACGATCTCAGTTCACCGCAACCTGCAACTCCCAGGTTCAAGTGATTCTCCTGCCTCAGTCTCCCAAGCAGCTGAGATTACAGGCGTACATCACCACGCCTGGCTAATTTTGTATTTTTATGTTTTTTGAGACAGAATCTCGATCTGTCCCCCAGGCTTGAGTGCAGTGGCGCGATCTCTGCTCACTATCACCGCCACCTGGGTTCAAGTAATGTTCCTGTTTCAGCCTCCCCAGTAGCTGGGATTACCGGCGCCCACCACCACGCCCAGCTAATTTTTGCATTTTCAGTAGAGAGGGGGTTTCACCATGTTGGCCAGGCTGGTCTTGAACTCCTGACCTCTTGATCCGCCCACTTTGGCCTCTCAAAGTGCTGGGATTACAGGCCTGAGCCAACGCGCGTGGTCAGGTTCCTTCCCTTTATAAAGGTTCTCTTGTCTCTCCCTTCCGGCTGGCTGATGGATGCAGACAGGATGTGGGGCAGGAGCAGCGGTGGGAAGCACAGAGAAGCTGGCACCACCCTCCGACACTGCCAGCCAGGACCTGCCACCGCAGGAGCCTGGGCTGTCCCTCCCAAGCTTCCCTGTCGTCCGGTCTTCATTAGGCGCCCACCCCACCGAAAGCGAAGCCAGGCAACCTGAGTCAGTTCAGGGTTCACGTCCTGGCTCTGCACATGTGGCCTGGGGGCTCTCTCCAGACATCATACTGAGCCTCACTGTGTCCCTGGAAAGTGGGAGGACCTGGCGGGGTTCTGGGGAGGGGAGATTACAAAAGCTCCAGGAAGGAGCCTGCTAGGCAAGGACGGGGCCCATGAGCGGCGCAAGAGACGTTCCAGTAACGCCGTCTGGGCGGGTCCTGGGACCGGAGAGGTGGAGACCACCCTCAACCTGTCTCAGAATCTGAGCCTCCGCCTTTTCTCCCGGCAGCAGGGACCGGACTCTCCTCTCCCGGGCCGCCGCGGGGGTCGCGCTTACCCTCCAGCAGCTCCACGTGGCCCCAGTCCTTCCTGCGGTCTTGGTCTTGCTCCTGGGGGCTGGCGGACGAGCTTCTCCTGGGGCCGCAGACGCCCCCGAGGATCCCTGCGGGAGAGGCGAGGGCGGCTGAAGGGGGCCGGGCGTGTGGGCGGGGGTGTCCGCAAGGGCAGATGCCGCAGGGTCGAAGGTCAAAGGAGCCCTAAACGCGGCGGAAACTCTCTGAGCACGGGCTTAAGTGGGAAAAAAACTAAGAGAGCGAAGGTGGAAGGGGCCCCGCCACGGTGAACACGGGCGGGAACCGCGGAGACGGCTCCCCGCACTCCAGGTGCAGCAGGTCAAGGGTTAAGAGCCCTAAACTCCGCACCTGGGGTCAGGAGGCTCCATAAGAAACCAAGAGTCAAAGGTCAGAGTACACTGAGGAGCCTCCGTCGGAAGAGCGGGCAAGGCCGAGTGGAAAGCGGGGCCGGGTCGGCGAGCTCCGCACATGCAGCCGCAAACGGGCAAAGGTCAAAGCGCCAAAGGCCCCGGGAGCGCGGGGAGGAGCGCGGGCCGCAGCGTGGCCCCCGGGCTGCCTGGCCGTCTTCCTTCGCGTTACCTTCTTTGGCGAGGAGCCCCGGGCAGCCGCAAGGCTGCAAGGCCCGTCTGAGCCCCGCCGCGCCGCGGCCCCAGCAAAGTACCGACATCACGCACGCCGCTCCGCGCCCCGCCGCCGCCACCCCCTCACCGCCTAGCGCCTGCGCAAGCGTCCGCGCCGCCTGCCGGGAGTTGTAGTTTCATGGTCGACGGCGGCTGCGAAGGGACACCCCAGCCGGAAGTGCACTGTCGGAACTACAACTCCCAGGATGCAGTGGAACCCGGAGTCGCGAAGGCATGCGCCGATGGAACGCTCTGATTGGCTCCTCCTGCTGTTTTCAAAGGGGGGGGCGGGACAGAGCTGTTGCCGTGGCAACTGGGGGGAACACGCAGGCTGTCTTCCCGAGGAGGAACCTCAAACCCGGACTTTTTTTTTCTCTTTTTCTTTTTTCTTTTTTCTTTTTTTTTTCAAGGAATACTCTAATAATGAGGACACCATCTGCAATTTAGAGATTCCTGTCTGCAACTTTCATTGTTCCAACGACAACTTTTGGGTAGGAGCTAATAGGATGCCGTCCGTCCTGGAGGAAGCTGAGGCTCAGAGAGGGCCAAGTTGCCGGAATACAGCGCACGCGCGACCTCAGGGAGGCTGGAAGGAGAGAAAGCCCCAGTCCACGAGACTCCCAGCCTCCAGCGTCAGTTTACCCTCCAGTCCCCAAGCCCTCAGGGGCAGGGGCGGAATGGAGCCGCAGGCTTGGATTCGCCTGCTAAGTGGGGCGAGGTCAAGGGAATGAAATAAACCCGGGAGCCTGGAACCTGCCCTGGTCTCCGCGTGATCCTGCCTAGAGGAGCAGGGCGGGAGCTTTAGAATGGAACCTGGAAGGCGTGCCCACCTGTGTCGTTCAGCTGGGGCAGCAGGCTTGTGAAGGGTGAGAATAGGAATATCTGGGGGTAACTGTGTTCCAGGCTGATGTCACAGTTGCAAAGGGGAGCCGGTTTGGTGGCTCAGACCTGTCATCCCAGCACTTCGGGAGGCCGAGGCGGGTGGATCACCTAAGGTCAGGAGTTCGAGACCAGCCCGGCAAATATGCAAACATGCCTGGCAACAGAGCAAAACCCCATCTGCAGTAAAAATACAACAATTATCCGGGTGTGGTGACAGGCACCTGTAATCCCAGCTACTCGGGAGGCTGAGGCAGGAGAATCGCTTGAACCCGGGAGGCGGAGGTTGCAGTGAGCCAAGATCTCACCACTGCACTCCAGCCTGGGTGACAGAGCGAGAATCTGTCTCAAAAACAAAGTGCAAAGGGAGGCCAGTTCACTGCCTCAGGCCTGTAATCCCAGCACTTTGCCTGTAATCCCAGCACTTTGGGAGGCTGAGGTGGGAGGATCGCTTGAGCCCAGGAGTTCCAGACAAGCCTGGGCAACTGAGATAGTGAGACCCAGTTTCTACCAAAGGAAAAAAAAAGAAAAATTAGCCAGGCATGGTGGTGCACACCTGTGGTCTCAGCTACTCGGGAGGCTGAGGCAGGAGGATTGCTTGAGCCCAGGAGGTTGAGAGTGCAGTGAGCCGAGATGGCGCCACTGCACTCCAGCCTGGGTGACAGAGCAGGACCCTGTCTCAAAACAAAACAAGTGTAAAGGCCCCGAGGCAGGAACAAGTGTGGACAGAGGAGCAATTTGAGCAGAGTGGGGCTGGGGAGAGGGAGCAAAGATGTAGCTAGGACTCAGGTTGGGGCCTGACCACACGGGCTCAGGGGCCTCAGCTCAAACTGTCCCCAGTTCCGAAACCCTAGCACTTCAATTTCCCCATCAGCCCAGAACGAGGGCTGGGCCTCACTCTGGAAGGGCCTGGCAGCCTCCTTACACACATTCCAGACGCTGCTGCCCACGCCTGCCTGGGCGCACTGATGCCACCGGCTGGGAATGTTTTCGACAGCAGCAGCCTCCCTCACCTGCCTCAGTCCGCCCCAGGGTGCCCCAGCAGGCTGTGACCTCAGACCTCACTCACTACTGGGGTCACCTGCCTGGCCCTGAATCAGCCGGGCCTGGTGTCCCAAGACCTACAGACGCTCCCTGCACCCCTGCAGGAAACCAAGACTTCTGAACTATTTCACCATTCTTTTTGCGCTAGTCTTTTCTTCTATTTGATGAGACATCAGACCCCCTAAACCAGTGTTTCCCCAGGAGCCAGGTTCCCGAATCTTAGCAGCGAGAAAGTTACCCTCAGCCGCACGTGGTGGCTCACACCTGTGATCTCAGCACTTTGGGAGGCCGAGGCGGGCGGATGACGTGAGGTCAGGAGTTTGAGACCAGCCTGGCCAACATGGTGAAACCCCATCTTTACTAAAAATACAAAAAGTAGTTGGGCGTGGTGGCCTGTGCCTGCAATCCCAGCTACTCAAGAGGCCAAGGCAGGAAAATCACTTGAACCTGAGAGGTGGAGGTTGCAGTGAGCCAAGATCGCACAACTGCAGTCCAGCCTTGGGCAATGTAGCCAAACCCCATCTCTACAAATAACACAAAAAAATTTTGTTGGGTGTGGTGGTACCTGCCTGTGGCCCCAGCTACTTGGGAGGCCGAGGTGGGAAGATGTAGAATTGCTTGAACCGCAAGGCGGAGGTTGTAGTGAGCTGTGACTGAGCCACTGCCCTCCAGCCTGGGTGACAACGTGAGACCCTGTCTCAAAAAAAAAAAAAAAAAAAAAAAAAAAACCTAATCTGGTTTTTGAATAAGACAACAGTTTCTGAAACAGGTCCTTGCCCAAATTCCAGCCTGGCAACTCTGCAGCCATCGCCCCCGCCCCGCCATTTATTTTAACTACATCTGTCTCCACCACTCATGTATTAAATAAATACAATATTGGCCGAGCATGGTAGCTCACGCCTGTAATCCTAGCACTTTGGGGAGGCTGAGGCCGGCAGATCCCCTGAGGTCAGGAGTTCGAGACCGGCCTAGCCAACATGGTGAAACCTCGTCTCTACCAAAAATTCAAAAATTAGCCGGGCGTGGTGGCGGGCACCTGTTAATCCTAGTGACTGGGGAGGCTGAGGTAGGAGAAATGCTTGAATCCAGGAGATGGAGGTTGCAGTAAGCTGAGATCTCACCACTGCACTCCAGCCTGAACGACAGAGCTGAGACTCAATCTCAAAAATAAATTAATAAATACAATATTAATATTTTGCTTGCTTAAGTTTTACAAAGAGACAATATCACCATCAAAAGTGGGAAACCGTATGTCTGGCCAGGTGCGGTGGCTCATGCCTGTAATCCCAGCACTATGGGAGGCCGAGGTGGGCAGATCACCTGAGGCCTGGAGTTCCAGACCAGCCTGGTCAACGTGGCAAAACCTTCGTCTCGAATAAAAACACAAAAGTTAGCTGGGCGTGATGGGCACCTGTAATCCCAGCTACTCAGGAGGCTGAGGCAGGAGAAATGCTTGAACCCGGGAGGGAGAGGTTGCGGTGAGCCGAGATCGTGCCACTGCACTCCAGCCTGGGCAACAGAGTGAGACTCTGTCTAAAAAAACACAAAACAAAACCAAACCCAACCAAACCCCAGAAAGTGAAGAATCGCCAGATGGAAGGGGATGGCCGCAGGCCCTGTGACAAATGATCACAAACTTGGTGCCTTAAAGCAACGTTCATTTTCTTACATTTCTGGAAATGAAAAATCCAAAATCTGGCTGGGCGCGGTGGCTCAAGCCTGTAATCCCAGCACTTTGGGAGGCCGAGACGGGCGGATCGCGAGGTCAGGAGATCGAGACCATCCTGGCTAACATGGTGAAACCCCGTCTCTACTAAAAATACAAATAACTAGCCGGGCGAGGTGGCGGGCGCCTGTAGTCCCAGCTACTCGGGAGGCTGAAGCAGGAGAATGGTGTGAACCCAGGAGGCGGAGCTTGCAGTGGGCTGAGATCCGGCCACTGCACTCCAGCCTGGGTGACAGAGAGCCAGACTCCGGCTCAAAAAAAAAAAAGAAAAATCCAAAATCAGGACCACAGGGCTGAAGTCAAGGTGTGTGGAGGCCTCACTCCCTCCAGAGGTCCCCGGGCTCCTTCCTGCCTCTCCCAGCTTCTGAAGGCTCCAGGCATCCTTGGCTTGTGGCCGCATCGCTCCCATCTCGTCTCTGTGGTCGCACTGCAGCCACCTCGTCTGCCTGTGTGAAATCTCCTCCTGCCTCTCTATTGTGACCGCGTTTAGGACACTCCAGGACAATCATCTGCATCTCGTTCAGATCTTCAAGGCGTCTTTTGAGACTCTTTTTCCAAATAAGGCAAATGTCACAGGTTCTGGGGATCAGGGTGCGGACTGACCTTTGGGCCAACCACAGAGGCCACAAAGAGGAAAAGACCACTGAATACAAAGCATCCGCCAGCCCAGCCCTGATGGGTGTTTGTTGTTGTTGTTGAGACAAAGTCTCACTCTGTCACCCAGGCTGGAGTGCAGTGGCGCGATCTTGGCTCCCTGCAACCTCCACCTCCTGGGTTCAAGCGATTCTCCTGCCTCAGCCTCCTGAGTAGCTGGGACTACAGGCATGAAAAGGAGCAAGGCTCTAACCTGGCCACAGCGTGGACGCACCTTGAGGACGTCAGACACAGAAGGACACATAGCGTGTGATCCCCTTTATATGAAGTGTCCACGACAGGCCCATCCACAGAGGCAGGAAGGGGATGTGTGGGTGCCGGGGGCTGGCGGAGGGGATGGGGAGTGACGGCTTCTCTTGCGGTGATGGAATTCTCTGGAACTAGACAGTGGTGGTGGTTGCCCAACTCTGTGAGGTACTAAAATCACTGAACTGGCCAGGCGCGGTGGCTCATGCCTGTAATCCCAGCACTTTGGGAAGCAGAAGCAGGTAGATCACGAGGTCAGGAGTTCGAGACCAGCCTGGCCAATATGGTAAAACCCCGTCTCTACTAAAAATACAAAACTTAGCTGGACATGGTGGCAGGCGCCTGTAATCCCAGCTACTTGGGAGGCTGAGGCAGGAGAAATGCTTGAACCCAGGAGGCGGAGGTTG